CTTGGTTTTTGAGGGATGACCCCCTCCTGGCAGGCTGAGAGTTTTGAAGTCACCCAGAAAGCCATAACTGTGGGATCAGTCCTCTCTGTGTTTCTGGAGGGCTTGTCCACCTTGCAGGCGCCTTCTCTTTGCATTTATCTGTCCAGTAACTGGTTGTTTCCATACAAGGAGCTGAGCACTGGCTGCCCGTCCAGCCCTCTTGACTCTGACAGATGACATAACCCAGGGCAGGACCGCAGAGCAAGTAGTGAGTGGGGACCTGCTGGCAAAATAGGTGGGCTTGGTGGCTTCCTCTGCCCCCTGTGCTGGGAGCAGTGCCAGCCACCAGAGACCCCTGGGAGAATAATTTCCCTGCAAGGATAGCGATCACCACTGCTCTAAAGGGTTGTTGTGAAGGTTTAACAAAAGCGAATTGCTAAAAGTATTTCTGAAAATTACAAAGTGTTGTGTAAATGGGAGTTAATATCTTTTTGTGGGGACTGGAAAAATGAGGAGGTCACCCAGCTAAGCCTGGCCGCAAGAAGCACTCTTTCTCCTGGAATCCAAAAAGCGATTTTAGGACTTCATGTCTTTTGTATACGCTTTCACTGTGCAAGTACAGGAGGGAGTATTTCCGTTAGCGATTACCCTTGTCCCCCATAGGGATTGTCCTCTAGCCAGGAGGTCTTCCTCGTCTGGCAGCTGCCTGAGAATTAGAGGCTGCTGAGGAGCTCAGGAGCCCAGAGATCACCTGGTGCAGCCTCCCCATGAAAGGGACCAACGTGTGGACCAGGCTGATGTCTACATAGCAATCATCCTGTGTCAGGCTTTGAGCTGGCTACTTAACGCAGGTATTGTGAGCCTGTAGAAAATAGTTGGTAAACAGTTGGAATCCACTCTGAGTGCATGATGAGAAAAAAATTATTCCAAATTGATCATGTTTTCTTTTTATGAAAAGTAATTAAAAGTTTATTATAGCAAAGCGTTTATAAAGAATTTCATGAGACAATGTGATGGTGAGATAGGGTGGAACTGAGGTGAATGAACTCAAGGCCTGATAATTGATTATATGAGTGATTGTATAGGTCTCTCTGTCAGCCAGTCTGGGGTGAAGTCTGTATTTTAGCACCTAGCAGCTCTATCTCCAGCCTTCTTCTGGTCAAGGTTGTTATTAGTGACTTGGAGGATGTAAGGGGCCTTGTGCTGGAATTTCTAATAAACGTAATATAGCTACAGATGGTGGAGTGATTATTCTGTAATCAGATCATTAAAGTGTATTGAGTCAGTTCATGGGAGCCTGGTGGCAAGTGCCAGGACAGGTGTATTTTTTCCCTTTGAGCTGGGCTTGGAAAATCTGCCCTAATGAGCCTCATGGACAGGGTGGCCAAGGGGAGGGTGATGCCAGAGGCCTAACCTGAGGGCAGACTCTAAGGGGGCATTGTCTGCCCAGAATTTAAAAACAATAACAAAACTGACTTAAAAAATAGCAGATTAAAAGATCTGTTTTTATTATCACTGTAAATGTGCATATGAATGTGAATATATATGTAAAATGAAAATATGAGGATATTATGCTAGGATAGTCTAAAAAGTATCAATTTTGGTGTAAAACATTAGAGCAGTTCCAGTTTGGGCTTGTTCTCTGATGGGCACCCCAGAGCAGACAGGCATGAAGCTCTAAGTGATGAATGACGAGTGACGGCCAGCGTGCCTGTGCTTGCTCTGAACCCTCCATTCTCCAGACCACCTCCTGCCTGGCCCCTTTGTTTCCTGCATTGGGTTTGTATTCCTGGTCTGGGTCCTGAGACCCCACAGGTGGGCATTGCTCCCTGTAAGTCCGGGGAGAGGAAATCCTGGGTCAAAATACCTCTAAAACCAAAATCAGTCAAAGGGAGAAATAAAGTTTAAAATATGTTTCTTGCTTACAAACTGCAGCCTGAGGTTATTTCTCTTTCGTGCTCTGGCAGAAGTAAAACCAGCCCTCCCCCTCACCTCTCAGATACAGATAAGCCCCTGGCTGCCCAGGTAATTACCTATGGATATGGAGATGAACTTCTCTCCACCCCTGAGGATATGCAAATGCACTAAAGCCAGGCAAGATAGTCTGGAAATACTACAATTTTACCCACACTCTCCCTTCCCTTATACTTGCAGGTGACTCCAAGTTGAACATACCAACATGAATGATGGCAGAATAAATATTCAAAATGGTCTCTACGGTTTGGAATGCTACACTGGAAAAAATCAGATAGGGATAAAGGTGGGGACTCTATACTTCAGGTTAAAAAATTCAGTGAAATTTTGGGAAGTGATAGATAGTTTCATTATCTCGATTGTGGTGATGGTTCATAGGTATATGCCTATGTCCGAGCCTATCCAATGAAGCATTATAAATATGTGCAGTTTATATATGTCAATTATACTTTAATAAAGTTGTTTAAAAAACTCAGTGCCATGTGGACAAATGGCGAGAACCTCTGACTTGGCTGCAACACCTTTGAGAAAGTTCAGGAGGATATAGTGACATATATTTGTAATTTGACCTTAAATAAGTGTGAATTTTTTGCTAAAGAAGCTAATAGAAGCCCAATGTCCAGATCCAGGAGTGTGAATAGCAGCACACATGAATACTGTACTCTGTTCTGGACACTATTTTTATTAAGAATTAAGACTCACCCAGGGTCTTAGCCTTGGGTGGCCAGTAGATCTGATCTGGAATCTTGCTAGGATCCAAATTCCTTGGATTCTCCAGCAATCCAGTCCCTGCTATTGAACTTCACCTTCCTGCCAGAGAATGTAATCCTGACTTGAGACAGATGTGAGAAAATTCATAGCTCTCCATCTCTAAGAGTTTGGGGATTCCACCTAATTTAATGGTCATGGTCCCCTGTGAGCCTCGTGTTCTCTTCTGCTGGGGCACTCATGACAAACAACCTTCTCAAGCAGGGTAGATACCCTCTGTGCATAGTTATGATGGGCTGGGGAGTCTGCAAATCTGAGTATGCTAGTGTAATTCCACTCTTCCTTTCTCATTAGGAAAGTTTAAGAGATTGCAAGAGAGTAAGGAGGACATTATTATGGGAATAACTTTGAATCTGCTCTAACTTATATATAAGTACTAGCTGTTCAAGCCCTTGAGTACTTAATGGTTAATGACAAATGACTAGCAATGCACTTCACCGCATTTGGGAACAGAACACAGCAGTGTGTTGAGTAGGCCACCCACAGGCTGACAACTGCCTGGGCTCCCGGAAGCCCAAGGCCTAGCTTAGAGGAGTAGCCATGCAGCCCTCAGCTTGGCTGTCTGTCTGTCTCTCCATTTCTTGATGCCACCACGGGACTGAGGGGGCTCTAGCCTTTGGGCTGATCCTTGAGCCTGGTGTCCTAGCACTGGGTGCTGGATCTTGCTTGATTGCCCAGCTCTACCCACCTTGCTTGGGCTACAGGGACCCATTGTAGGCACATCAGAGACCACCAGAATGGAGTGAGACTTCCAGAAACTATATTATGTAAGGAACTGTTGAAGGAGCTGGGAGTGTTGCAATGGGAGAGGGAAACGAGGGAAAGCATGGCAGCGGTCTTCAAATTCTTGGAGAACTGAGCTGACCAGGCTTGCTCTACCGGACAAGGATCCAGAAGGCCAAATCAGGTTATAGGAGTATGTTCTTTGGGAAGGCAAATTGAAGGAAGAAATCTGCAGCAATTAGGACTGGCTAACAACAGAAGACTAGGAAGTCCTATTTTTGGAAGCAGCTAACTCTCCTTCACCATGGAAATTAAAAAATGCATGTCAGGGATGGATGAAAGGGATTTCTGTACTTGCATGTTCTGTTGCAGTCTCTTTCTTTAGGCTCTAGAATTCTGTGATTCTAAAAGCTCCTGTTTTCTTTTGAGATCCCTGTTTAGAGGGTCAACTCCATCCTGAGTTTACATGTCCACTTTCTCCTGGGAGCTCCGTACTTCCATCTTTGCTGTTGAACTTGTTTGCAGCATTTCTGTGCCTCAGCGGCCAAGATTTCTCTTTCCCACATTGCAGTTGGGGTGTAGAGGTACTGTGCATCACTCCAGATTTCACTTACTCTGGGTGTTAGCTTACATCTTGAAATATGTTTTCCTCACTCTAGCCTATGCCCTTTTCTGTCTTAATGATAGCTTCCCCGGGGGAAGACACTCAGCTCTCTGACAGGAACACTGGGAGGACAGAAGTACAGGGGAGGAACAACATCTTCCTCTATCTCTCACCCTAAAGCATTGGATGGGTGAATATTATTCTTCCAAATCACTGCCAGTCTCTCTCTGAACCAGGAGAATACATCAGATAAGTGACATTACTAACCTTGTCATTCTTACTCTTGCAACACACACGTACCTGGGACATGCATCACAGTGTGTAGGCTTCATTTTGTGTGAAATATATCATGTTCATGTCCTATCATATTGTACATAGTTACGATTGTTTATTCTTTGGGGAAAGGGACATTATATTTCAACAAGGAGAAGGACATGCCATACAGAACACTCTCTCCCATAACTTGTGACTTTTGGCAAGGGGACCATGAGGAATTTCCATCCAGTCCCCTGGCATAGAAGAGTTTCTGGGATCCTCAAGTGTCTTTTCCAGTGTGCTCCAGTAAGTCCCTGTGTCCCTGTCAGAGTCCCCTCAGCCTGCCTGGCGATTGCAAATGCAACTGCTCCTCTGGCAACTGGTGGTACTCCCAGAGCCTAATGCAGACAGGCCACACATCTGTCCTTGCTGAATTAAATGGAAAGGTTTGTATGCAGGGTGCAGTGGTGTCCCCCACACTGGATTCACTGAAAATCATCTGCTAGAAGAAGAGTGAAAGCTCGAAGGGACCCTTGGAAGCCCAACCCCTCATTTGGAAAAGTGGGAATATGAAGCATAGAAAGACAAGGCCAAGGCCGGCCCATTGAGCCAAGTACCTGAACCAAAATCTCCCAATGGCCAGTGTGGCTGGTCCCTTTCCACTGTGTCCCATCATGTGTTTCTCCTTCCATTCCAGCCTCATTAACTTTGTGTGCCACACCTGCTTCAAGAGGCAGGAGAAGCTTCATCGCTGTGGGCAGTGCAAGTATGCCCATTACTGTGACCGCACCTGTCAGAAGGGCGCTTGGCTGGACCACAAGGGCGAGTGTTCGGCCATCAGGAAATACGGAAAAGTGCCCAATGAGAACATCAGGTCAGTGCTGGGCCCCTGTGGGGGACATGGGATTCCCTAATGTCAGGTGGGGGATGGAGGAGTGACCGCAGTCCCAGGCCCAAGGAAGCAGGATGAATGCAAATCAGGAAAGAGCCTCAGACAGACTGGATGTGGGCACTTCTGTGCACATCTTGGGTCTGCGTGGGGTCCTTTCAAAAAGAGGGGGACCTGGATGTGTACAGCCATGCTTCCAAACTGCAGTGCTGCCTGGGGCTGGCTGCAGACCCATTCTCTCTGGCTCCTTAATATTTAATTTTTTTAAAAATTGATCTGCCATTGTTAAAAAATGCTGAAATTTCACATTTAAAACAATTAGGTTTTCTGGCTTCTCTTTAAAAAAATAAAAACTCCTGAAGATACTCTCTTAGAAACTTTCAATTATACAATACAGTGTTATCAAATATAGTCACTGTGATTTATATTAGATCCTCAGACCTTATTCATTTTATAGCTGAAAATTTGTACCCTTTTACCAACCTGTCCCTATTTCTTCCAACCCCAGCCCCTGACAATCACTTTTCTCCTCTGTTTCTATGAGTTTGACTTTTATTTTTTTTTTCAAGATTCCACATATAAGTGATACCATGCAGTTTTTGTCTTTCTCTGTCTGGCTGTTTCACCTAGCAGAATGCCTTCCAGGTCCTCAGTGTGTTGTCACAAATAGCAGGATGTCCTTCTTTCTCATGGCTGCATAATATTCCACTATAATACCACATCTTCTTTATCCATTGACCCATGATGGACACTTAGGTCGTCTCCAATTCTTGCCTCTTCTGAGTAATGCTGCAGTGAACACAGGAGGGCAGATATCCTCTTGCTATCCTACTTTGTCTTCAAGGCCCAAAGTAAATGTTACCTCCTGTGATGGGGAGCTCACTCCATTTCTCTGCTCAGTCCCAGTTGGTAGTTGCTTCTGTTACTGAGTTGGCATCTGCCACACATTAGTCTTTACTCTCTGAGCTTTGTGACTAATTTCCTAATATTTGGAGATAGCAGACACCCTACCCAAAGTCTATTTTCTCTGGTGCTGCTCTGAGTTCCCACTTTGTGGGGATACCTTAGTTCTTAGCACCTGGGACCCCCAGCAGGACATCTCTGCAGAAATAACTCTCTGATTCTAACAAGATGAAGAAAGGGCCTATACTTCGCCAAGGGGATCCCTCTGCAGAGACAGGGTCTGACACAGGCCATCAGCCCCTCCCAGGTGCTTGGCCAGCATGCAGTCCGGGAGTGTGAGGGAGTTGCCAAAGTGTCCCTTGGTCACAGGCTTGGTCTTGTAGGCGTGGGCTGCTTTACAGTTACAAGGGGCGTGTCTTGTCTCGCACTCAAAGCCAGGTGTTCTCCAAGCTCATTCCTTCTTCAGGCCCTTTGTACTCAGCGCTCTATTCCCATCTGCACTGAGACGGCTCCTTCCGTTCATTCCATTTTCAGCCCCAGTGTGCATCCTCTGAGTCACCTCCTCTGATGACCTTGGCTTCCCTTCCCCAACCAGTCTTTATCCTGTCATCCTATTTTATTTTCTGCATAGCACTGAACACTAGTTTAAACTATTCCTTTAGCTTAGGAAGCTTCATGATAGAAAAAATTCCATCCATCTAGTTCCAAAGCATATCTTGCACCTGACGTTGTGTCTGGCACACATTAGGCACTCAGGAAGTGTTCATTGAATAGATGAATGAATGCAGTGGAGCCTCCCTAACCCTGCCTCTCTCCACAGGCTGGCGGCACGCATCATGTGGCGGGTAGAGAGAGAGGGCACAGGGCTTACGGAGGGCTGCCTGGTCTCCGTGGATGACTTGCAGAACCACGTGGACCACTTTGGGGAGGAGGAGCAGAGGGAGCTGAGGGTGGACGTGGACATGTTCCTGCAGTACTGGCCGCCCCAGAGCCAGCAGTTCAGCATGCAGTATATCTCTCACATCCTTGGCGTGGTATGAGTCCTCAGCGGCAGGGTGGGGTGCGAGCTGGGATGGTCTAACCAAGGATTCAGAGGCTGCCAGGCCAGAGGGGGAAGGAGCAGAGTCCTAAAGTGAAGACCTCTCATCCCATTCTGGCCCAGCTTTCTATGAGGTTATTCCTGTCCTACCTGATTCGGGTGGTAATCTGCACTTTATAGTTTTTCTCCTCTCCACACTGAAAACAAAGACTCAATGACCATCCCTTCTTGCCTACCAGTCACTTTGGAAATAAAACCTTCCTTTTCCCAGGTCTGATGATCAGGATAATGGGGAGCCTGAAATGGTGGGGTGTGGCAAGGCAGGGAAAAAGGGAGTAAGGGCTTTTGGGTGGGTACTCCCTTAGAGCAACCAGGCCAGGCCTCTCATGGCCACGGGAGTCCAGGAGGTGGGGGCAGGAGCCCGGTGGGTCAGCAGGCTCAGGCCCTGGGCTGTGGGGGTAGGTGTCTTCTAGGTGGCAGGCCAGGCCCCTTCTGTGGTGCTGGCACCGGACTGAGGAGGGAGGTTGTAATAACGGCAGCATGATTACACTTGGCATCTCTTGAGTCCTCGCCATGCAGCAGCAGTGCTTGTGTAATACAGTTCTCCAGAGCAACAGAACCAGCAGGATATATGTGTCTAGATAGGTAGATAGAGAAAGAGAGGAAGAAAGAAAGAAGGAGATTTATTTTTATGAATTGGCTCTTGCAAATGTGGAGGCTTAAAAGGCAGTCTGCTGGCAGAATTCCTTCTTGCTGGGGGTGGGGGGGTGTCAGTCTTTTTTCTATTAAAGCCTTCAATTGATTGGACAAGGTCCACTTACATTATGCAGGCCAATCTGCTTTATTCAAAGTCTACTGATTTAAATGTTAACCCATCGAAAAAACACATCCACAGAAATATACAGAATAGTGTTTGACTAAACATTTGGGCACCGCAGCCCAGTCAAGCTGACACATGAAATGAACCATCGCAGCTCCCCATATATAATTTTTTTGCTGTCTTTACAATATAGGAAACTGTGCTTTGAGCATTCCTATTTCATAGAACAGAAAGCTAATGTATAGAGAGGTTCCATGACTTCCAAAAGCCACACAGTGAACTGGTATCCCAGAAGGACTAGAAGCAGTCTGTCTGGTGCCCGAGTGTCTACTCTGAGCAGTTATTCTCCACAGCCTCAGAGTGAACAGATGTCACAGATTGATCCTGGGTATCCCTGAGGCGCTCTGGGGACTATAAGCCATAGGATTGCATAGGACTCAGCTCTACCAAAGTGTGGAACTGAAAGGACCCTTAGAGATCGTCTAATGCAATTTATTCAGCCAACAGATGGGAGAACCAGGGCTCAGAGAATAAGGAAGCTTGCCCAAGGTAACAGCTTGTTAGTGGTGCTGACAGGCTTCACTTCATGTACTTGCTGAATGACTGATGAGACTGAATGGAGAATGTGGCAGTCTTCCAGTATCTATAACAAATAGCCATGTGGGTGTACAACTGTGTATGATATTATGTGTAACACCCATTTATATATGTGTTTATATAGAGAGCAGAAATCCACGTGTAATTATTAACATATTCTATGTTATATTTTATTCTTATGCATTTTTCAGAGCAGGTATTTGGAATATGTTTCTATAAAGAACAACTTATTTTTAAGGACATGGAAATCAATCAAGTGCCACATAAGTAAAAACCAACTTGATTTACTTTGCATTCAGAAATAAATGTTAACTGTTGCACTTATCAGATTTTAAAATTGTTAAAACAGGAGTATAAAATATCCACCAGGCACAAAGCAATCAAAAAGAGGATGTCAATTTTAAGAGCAGATATAGGAATTAAAGGTGGGTAAGCAAAGGAAACAGGGGAGACATACAGACACACACACACACACACACACACACACACACACCGAGTAAGGCAGAGCAGAGCACGGAGAGAGAAACAAGGATAGATACTGAGGAAGGTTCGTGTGAGACCCAGATACAGGAAAAGGGAGAGGCTTCTCAGAACCAACATTCCGCCTGGCCTTTTTAGAATACAACTACCAAAACTTTCAAGGTGTCTTTGCTTTTAGCAAGAATGGGACGCTCCCATGGTACTGATTTTGAGGGTCATTTGGAGTCATGTAGAGAACATGGCACCAAATGGTTTGTTCCTAGACTCTCTAAGAATCTCTAGGATGCCCCTGAGTCTTCTGTTTTTTTAAACTTTCAGCAGCTAGGATGGTGGTCTGTCCCTTATCTATGTCTGCTAACTGACTCTTTTTTCCTCTGGGTAGATTAACTGCAATGGCTTCACACTCAGTGATCAGAGAGGCCTGCAGGCTGTGGGTGTGGGCATCTTTCCCAACCTGGGATTAGTGAACCATGACTGTTGGCCCAACTGCACTGTCATATTTAACAACGGCAAGTGAGTATGTCTTTACCTGCGGGTGGTGTATGGGGATGAGGAGACTGTGTGGTGTTTTCTCCACTTGACTTAAACCCAAGGCAAACTCAGCTAGCATGGATTTCAACTGGGCAGCAAATAGAAATTTGATTCTAGAATAATTGTGGATAGGAGAAAGGTAATGAGGAGGATAGCAAAGAGTTCCACATGCATGATGTCTGAGTCTTTGCATGTTTCTTGAGCTGCCTAGATGTGTTAGGTACTATTTTAAAATTTAAGCCTGGGATTCTCTCTCTAGAGGTCATTACAGAACAATATCAACTGAGAAGGCACTTGGCAGGAGCATATATTAGTCAGGGTCCCAGCAGAAATCAGAAGGCATACTTTGGGTTTACCCAAAGAAAATGTAATGAAAGGACAATTTACAGAAGTACAGGTAGAGTTTAAGAAACTAACATGGAACGGTGAGATGTCCAGGTGAGTCTAGCAACAGTATGAAACCATTACCAGCTGTAGACTTGGAGGGGAGCCTGGAGGAAGTACTCTTCTTGTAGCTGGTGAGAGCTACAGCCAGGGGAGGAGGACATTTCTCCACCCCCACCACCAGCATGTCTGTGCCTGTAGAGAAAGTAGCCACTGCTGGAACCGTGGCAAGACAGAGAGGGAGCCAGGAGAAGAAATACCCCAACCTCTCTCTCCTCCCACCTTCTGATCTCTTCCCATTGGCCAAACCCCAACCAGAAGCCAGAGAGCAAAGGACCCTGGGTGATGAAGTCCTCAGAGGTCAGTTCCCCACGCCCCAGGAAAGCACAGATCAGGGACAGAAGGGCGAAGAATGGTTTGTAGGGGTGGGGCACAAATGGAGAAGTCAGCAAAAAGGATGAGACCCTGGTTGTCTATGGCTCTGGGGAAATTTGGGGAAATGAGGCCTCTTGTTCTAAGGGATGAGCTCTTATAACAGATGCAAGTTGACACTTAGCCATCAACAATGTTCAGGATTTCCCCCAAAACTTCCTGGAAACCAAAGACAATGGTCCTGGTTCTCAGCTAAGAATCAAGCCTAAGCCCCAATGTAGTATGGACTCTGGTTTCTTGTTTCCTTCCTATTTCTGGAAGCAGGGGCCCTCATGACAGCAGGCTCTTAAGCAATTGAAAAGCCACACAAGACAGAGATATTTATTTGAGGCACAGATGATAATCTTTTTACAGCACTTGTGTTTCCCTTCCTGGGAGGTCACTGGTCTGGACCTCATAGAATCCCCCTCGAGGAGCTATTGTCCAGGTGAGCCTGGTTGTTAGAGGATCAAATTCAGCCACGTTAGGGGCCTGGTCATTCAGGACACCACCCCCTGAAGCAGTGGTGACCAGGGTTCCTCTTGTCACTACATGTAACAGCCATAGGATTCTGGGCACCCTTTGTTCAGATCATCTCTGGCTTCTGCTCTGGCTTCTTTGTACCCACTCATTTTCAGCAGTCACATTTGACCTGGGCTTCTTGGCTGTCGTGCAAGAGAAGGTGACTTTTCAGTCACTGCCGAGCTGCCTGCCATGGTGGAAAGAACATGGGACATGGTGTTAGGAGCCTAATTCTAACCCTAACAAGTTTTACATGCTATTTGCGTGCCCTAACCAATGTACACACAGTTCAAATGATCCCCAGGATAGACATCGAAGAGGCAACACTTATTCATCCAAGATGCTTGTTTGTGGGATGATAGTAGCTTCCCATGAAGCTTTTTAGCACTTTACTTTTAAATGCATTGTCTCATCTCAGGACAGTCCATTAGCTGGTTACAGATGAGAACCTTGAGGCCCAGGAAAGGAAATCACTTGTCCAGGCCTGAGTATTTTTGAACCCGGAACTTCTCATTCCAAATCCAGGGAGCTTTCCACTCTACCAGGCTGCATCTTGCCCAGGGAGCCCTGCTGGAAGGGGCTGGGGTAAAAGTTGTTGTGATGGCCAAAGCTTTGATTGCATAATCTGGAATGCTGTGCAGCCTGACTAGCTGTACTGGATCAGCCGGTGGTAATGATTTCCGTTTGGGTGTCTGTTTTTTCTTTCAGTCATGAGGCAGTGAAATCCATGTTTCACACCCAGATGAGGTGGGTCAGTCCTCGCAAGCATCTCTGCTCCTCTGACCCATCTCTCTCACTGGCCTGGTTTGCTGGGGCCACTCCTCCCTGAGATCCCCTGGCTGCTGTCTGTCCGGAATGTCCTGCTGCACCTCAGAGTCCCGGCTTTGTGGAACCTGGATCTAAATGCATTTCTGTTAATTATTTTGTTCCTCCCCCAGCCACTGCCTGCTGTGGCTTGGCTCTGCTCTGCCTCCTTTCTTCCCTGTCTTCTGTTCTTTTTCTCCTTCTCCTCCAATTTCAAAGCATGCCAAGCCCTTCTAGTCCACATCATTTTAACAGAAGTGTGCATTGTTTCTCTAACCCCTGCTTATCACAAAATGAGGACTGGTGGTGTTACTGACCTATTAAAGACCGTGTGTTTGTTTATAATCACCACCCACCCCACAACTTCTCACCCAGGTGGTTCTGAAAACAGCACTCTTAACTGTGGTAGTTTTGGTACATATTTATTCATAGCATTCTGCTCACTGATTCTGGCCAACTACGAATTAAGGTCAGATTTTACTTCCGACTTTTCTGTATGACAACCAAATGGCCAGGCCATTCCATGGGGTTATTTGTCAGGCCGTTTTGAAAGTACTTGAAATGCTCTTTGGATTACGAACAAAGTGCTGTGTGGGGGTCTGGGCTCTGGGAATGCAGTAGGAGTGTTTGGTGCATCTCAGCACGTGACTTTGCGTGATTCACATCAACTCAGGGGCGTTTGCTTCCACATCTGTAGAGCAAGGTCTAGATGAGAGCCTCTCTAGGGACATTCCTAGTTCTAAGTCTCTGTGGCCCTGGGCTTTGTTCCTAATCTCTATAGAAATACTTAAGCAAGTTGCCTGCTTGTGGCTCATTAGCTGAACTATAGAATTGCAGAGCATTAGAGATGGAAGAGGTCTGGGGTCCAGAATGGAGTGATGGTCACTATTTATTCCCTGATCCCCAATTCCAAGTAAGGTAAAAGGAGGCACACATATTTTCATATTTAAGTGGTATTACATTAATTTGGCTTTGAAAAGTCTCTAGCACCACTGAAATAATTTGAGATACTCTTAGACTTTACAAGAACTGGCTTAACCATCGTGGGAAATCCTAACTCAGTTAGCACTGAATCACTATTGGATGGGGATATGTTACTATGGTGAGCTGCATCTGGAAAAGGGGCTAAAGGGGGCAAAATTACTTACCCACACCAGCATCAACTGCCAGAGAGCCACACTCACCACTGGCCCAGGTGTTGCTCACATAGAACTACTTAGGACATTAGTAGGGTCCTAAAATCAAGGGCTTCAGTGTTGTCTCATTTCCCGCGCACTGCAGACTGGCGAGACAAACTGAAGAGAACCAGGCGAGACCAGTATGATGAGGTGAAGCATGAATGGCACTTGTTGCCAAAGTGCTGTGAGACTCTGGGGACATTACTTCACCTCTCTGGTCTCCCCTGTGGCTGGGACCAGTAGGATTCTCAGCAGAGCTGTGAGTGGAATTACAAAGCCCTGCTCTCCCTCTTGCCTTTCATCTCTTGAGTGACAGTTGCTGTGAAAAACTGTGGTGCGGAAGGAAGGAAAGGAGTCTCATGTGCACATGAGCAGCACTTTGATTTTGCCAGGCTTTTGTACACATAACCACATTTATGGACATGTCAGTAAACCCCGCTTGGAGAGAATGCTTTTTAACCTTAAGTGGTCACTTCAGATGCCTAAATATATGTCCTTTAGGAGCTGCTGGTTCAGTTGTCACTTCAGAGCACATGGAAGGGACTGCCTTTGACTGGGACCTTCCTGCAGTGCTGGGATCTTGTCCTGCCTTTCACACAGTGTCTGACTCAGCCTGTCTGGGAGGTAAAAGGAATGACCACGGATCTCTCTGCAGATGCTCTCCCCAGCCCTCTGCATCCTGCTGCTTACTCTCTGGGTTATGGTTTCCCATTGGGCAGTGTGGCCCTAGGTGCCTAGGGAGATATGGGGGCACATCCTACAACCCAGTTTGCAGGGCTCACCTCTGGTTTTCTGCATCTCCTGGCCCTGTCATGGAGAGTGCCTGGCTGAGGGATCCCCCTTCAGGTCTCTGCTTGCCTATTTCAGTGGGATGTCAGTTCTGCAGTGGTCTTTTGTCCTTAGCACATTCCTTATCTATTATGTTAAGGGGGTCATGCTGTAGGTAATTAGAGGATCAGGTCTAGGCTGGAAGGGAATTGAAATGCCATCTGCTCTTGCCACCCACCTTCAACCCAAAGCCAGGACCCCAGTAAGCACAAAAGCCAGCCTTTGTTTATTTGCCTTCAGTGATCTACAGGTGTGTCTCCTCATGTAATGTAGCCTTGAACCACTGGATTGAAGGATAAAGTAAGTGGGGGCTTCAGGTGAGACACAGAATGGGCCAAGATTGTGGGTAAGTGGAGGGCTATGTTTATGAGAGCACAGGCCCCCAATAAGCAGAAATGACTATTGAGCCTTTTCTTGTTTGGAGCTTTGCCTTATTGTTTCTCCTTTCCTTTGCTGCAGACAATAACTAAATGTATAGGGATAATTGGAGGCATGGAAGAAGCTATATATGGCTTTATGACCAAGCCCAGTCCTCTACTGGGTTTCAGAGCAATGAACTGAATGGAAGAGATTTGATTGCTATATTGAGTAGAGCAGAATTATACAGAAACCTCTCCTCCTTTAGGCCACATCTCCCCTTTTTGGGAGAACAGGACTTTTCTCAGAGTGCTAGTGGAAGTCATTGTCTTTGAGACCCTGGAAGAGCTGAAATGCGTCTCTGACAGCCCTGGATTTGATGAACTCTTTTCCTTCATCCTGCTCCAGAATTGAGCTCCGGGCCCTGGGCAAGATCTCAGAAGGAGAGGAGCTGACGGTGTCCTATATCGACTTCCTCAACGTCAGTGAGGAGCGCAGGAAGCAGCTAAAGAAGCAGTACTACTTTGTCTGCACGTGTGAGCACTGCCAGAAAGGCCTGAAAGATGACCTCTTCCTGGGGGTGAAAGACGACCCCAAGGTACATGCAGTCCCACTCTGGCATTCACTCTGACTTTGTCCCCAGGCCAGGCCCGGCTGGGTGTCACAGTCAGGGCACCCCTGCCTGCTGGAGCCCAGAGGAGAGCCTGCAACCTGCAGGAAGGTGGTGGGGGCACACAGTGTGCTGCACATATGTCCCACTAGTGTCTTGGTGCCACTACTTGCCAGGTGTTCCAGTTGGGAAGGTCACTCAGTTTTCTCACCTGTAAAGTAGGAATGATGGCACCCATGCCAAAGGGTTGTCATGAGGATTAAGCAGAATGATCTATGCAAAGGGGCAGCGTGCAGAGTAGACCCAGAGTACATTTGGTTCCTCTCCTTGCCCCTTTGCAGGTTAAGTAAGGCTGATAATTTCCTATATGGAGACCAGATATCAGAGAGATTGGTTGTCTGGTTATTCCTAAGGTATTCCTAGTCCCATGGAAATTGGCATGTGGCGATCAGGCAATGTTTAGATGGCTTAATATGCTTACCTCCTGTGCAGCTGTTGCCTGGTTGACAGTGAGACCACTGAGCAGCCGAAGGCCTACCCAGGGGGCTGCAGGAGCTCTGCTGAGCTGGGAGAAAGCTGAGCTGCCAGGTGTCAGGGTGGCCGATTAAAACAGCATGTCAGAAAGGAAAGGGTCAGCCTTTCATCACTTCCTGCAATGGTCCAAGCAAGAAGCTAAAATCCGAGTGGGCCCCAATTCCTCCTGTCCCATTTCCCCAGGAAAGGCCCCAGGCGCAGGGGCACTTGCAGGATCAGCACAGTGGGGGCATCTTGCTGCTGAGGGGCCCAGGACAAAAGCCTCCAGTGTGAGGGAGGGCATGGGGGAAGGGCTCAGTGTGGAAAAGTACTGCGTATGGAATGGAGTGGGCAAGTGCCTCATACTTCCCTTCTCCTCACCTGTAAGGGGACCTAGGTAGAGGTGCCTGAGGAAGACTTTGGCTCAAGACCTCAGATAAAGAGACCAGCGCGAGGGCGCATGGTGAGGAATGCAAACATGTGAGGAGCATGATCAGCCAGGGGCCCCGTGTCCTGGGCTTCCTTCAGAGGTGTGCTCCACGCCTGGCATGGTGAGGCAGCTTTGCCTAGGAGACCTGCTAGGTAGAGCCTTCATAACTGTCCCTGATTATGACTGAAGGATGATACGTAGGTTCGTGACCAGGAGCCGGCCTCCTCTGGGGAGGCTGCCTGAACACTGCCATACAACGCAGTCCATCAGTGCATTTAAGATACAAATACACAAATATACTTCTCAATTAACTTGAGTTCTGCATCTTAGGTGTGAGCAGAAATTGGTCTCTGGGTAGAGCAAAAGTCATGAGCAAAACTGACTTCTAGGTTCAGACAGTGGGGCGCCTCTCAGTTACTTCATTACTCGATGTCGGGGCCAACGTTCAGGTAACACTATTCTCCCATGTGACATCTCTATCCTTCATCCCCTGACTCTTCTAGACATTTTTTTTTTGCCACTAACTTATTTCTATTCTTAATATCTAATTAATTTTTTACCCTTTGACCAAGAGTTCTACTTCTAAGAATTTACCCTGCAGAGGAAGATACATGTATGAAGACACATATTGTAGTGGTGCTGGGAACAATGAAATATTGAATAAAACCTAAATAACCACCAATAGGGAAATATTTAAACAAAGGAAATGTCTGCAGTTACTAAAACTAATGAGGTAGATCTTTGTGTCTAGATGTGGAATGAGCTCTATTTCTTAAGGGAAAAGAAGAAGGGGTCCACATTCTGCCCTGTGTGTTAGTTTCCTCAGGCTGCTGTAACAAAGTACCCCAGGCTGGGTGCCTTCTGCAACGGAAAGGCAGTCTCATTGTTCTGGAGGCCAGAAGTCTGAAATCAAGGGTGAGCGGGGCTGGTTCCTTCTGAGGACTGTGGGGGGAATCTGCTGCAGGCCTTTCTCCTTGGCCTGAAGATGGCCATCTTCTCCTCACATTGCCTTCCTTTCCCTTTCTCTTCCCCTGGCATCCTTTTCATAAGGACACCAGTCCTGTTGGACTAGAGGCCCACCCTATTCCGGTTAGATACGTTAGATGAGACCTTATCTTGACTAATTACCTCTGCTGTGGCACTATTTCCAAATAAGGTCACATTCTTAGCGCCTGGGGCTTGGGACTTCAGTATATGAATTTGGGTGAGGGAGATGCAATTCAACCCATACACTGTGTATGCCACCATGTATGAAATTAAAAGGGAAACGAGCATCCCCACTGTGTGAAGCAGAGTCAGTTTTGAAACATAAGTAAGGAGGAGGAAGCTGTAACCAACAGATCGGTGATGCCTGGAGGACAAGTTGAGAGTCATCCCTCCCAGGCAAAATACAAAGCAGTTAGGGCCTAAGGATTAATATGTTCTTTATAGTAACGACCCCTTTCCACAGAATCAAAGGCTCTGTATTTCAGGAAATGGGTACTGGTGTATATGTGTGAGGCTCCAAGCACAGCGCTGTAGAAACCACAGAAATGAATAGGGACTGCATCTACCCTCACCCTGACCTTCCAGAACGTGCGGGAGACCATGTATCTTACCTGCTGGCCTACCACCTTCCCTCCTGGTGCCTGGCCCCGAGTGTTCTCAGGGCCATTCTCAAGCCTTCAACTGGCCTCAAAATCCTTCCTGACTCCTTTATATAGGTAAATGTAAACCTGGCTAAATATTAAAACCAAATATTAAAAAAGACGAGAAAATAACAGCAAAATGTACCACATTCCCCTCAATTGTGGCTTTTTCTTTTTCTTAGGTGTTTCTTTTTCTCTCTCTCCAGGCCTCTCCCAGGATTTTCACAATAGAAATATACCAATTTTTCAAGGCTGGGAACCAGCGTCCCCTTCCCCTCTCCCCCCCTCTTCGGGTTCCTCCCTCTCTGCAGGCTCCTCTCCCTCTCCTGCAGTTCTTCCCCCTCCTCTTACACTTCCTCCATTGGCACCAGTCCTCCACCAGTTCCTCCCTTGCCTTCTCTGGCTCCTCCCCTTTTCCCTCCCTGTTTTCTATTTATTTTGTTGCTCTTGGGAGAGGAGCGTCTCACTCTGCGGGGCGGGGTTCCTTAAATCCTGTTTGCTCATCAGGTTTTCCTGTCTTTGCTCTGAAAAGTGAAGCCAAGTGGAGCAGCCCAATTTCCTTTCTCAGATTAGCTTTATCACCTTCCAGCCAGGTTGTTTTGGGAATCTTGGCAGTTGCTTCCTTGAAATAGTTTGATTCACTTCCAAAGCTTAAAGTAACACTCTTCCTTACAATATCAAATTGAGCAAGACTATTATTAACATCTAACCACTTGGTATTATCTGAATCTGCCCTGCAAAGTACTGATTACTCCAGAAGATTCACTAAGAATTTTGAGTTTTAAAGATGACGGAACTCAGAGAGAGGTTGTAAACTTCATGTGCTTTTATGAGTACCTCTTGGATGACAAGCTGTGGGTGAAACAAAAAATGTAGGTTCGACAGGTTGGTGGCACACTTTTAGACCACCAGTCACAGAAACTGGGCAACACATGGACCCCTTCTTACTTGCGTGCTTGATTCAGATAGCTTAGGAAAGCAGATAGGCACTGAACTGACTTGTCTGGAGCCAAGACATGAGCTGAGTGAGAAGAAGAGCCAAAGGCATCCAGAGTCAAAAATCTTGGCCAAATCAAAGGTCAGGACAAAGGTTAAGTCAGGAGTGAGACCTGCAAGCAGAAGACACAGCATTGATGGCTGCCTCAATTGTGGGGTCTGCCCATGGGACGAGTACAGGCAGACATGCAGAAGAATTCCAGAGAGCTCAGATACAGAGGGATATGGAAAGGAGGACAGTCAAAATTGTAGGTCAAGAACTCTGCAGAAGCCACCGTAGGTGTAGGTGAGGTAAGTAGAAGAGTAAATGCAATGCCCCTTCCTTAGGAGATCCTGGGCTGGAGGCTGTCCTGGCCGGGGACCTCTCATACTGCAAGATGGACACTGCGGGAGTGGCTCAGGACAGCTGGCAGACTGAGGGAAGAGCCAACGCTCCATCGATAAAGGGGGATGTATTTTCCTGAGAACAAATGCCCATGCTCCCATCACTTTTTGGTAGTTTAGGGGAGACGACGTCACAAAATGATGTAAGCAGCAAATCTAAATGGAGCTACTGAGCCCAGTTCCTTAGAGTAAAAAATCGGACAGCTGGAGAACTGGTTAATAGTTCATACAGCTGGAAAATGCTACAGTTATTCAAAGTGGGGCTAAATTTTTATATTGGTATGGGAAAATAACCATTATTCACTGAGTGAAAAAAAAACAGACTATAGACAGAAATATGGTACTATTCCAGGTAGAAAAAATATTTGATGCTATTGGCATATACACATGCCTGTATGTGCAAATATACAGGACTGCAGTTCAGCCAGCGCACGCTGATGAGGCCACAGAGGCATACTCGCTGTTGGTGGTCAGGCTCGGTTTTGCTGGTCACTGCCTTTCCTGTCCCAGTTGTTAAATGTTTTAAATGTTATTCCTGGACATACACATTAGAAAATGTTCTTCAAAATGCTGTGTCCATCTCTGGATGGATTCTGGGTATTTCTACCTTTTTTACATATGCTTTAATTTTTACAACTTCCATGTATCAGTTTTACAGCCAGAATAAATAATAAAATTATTTTCATTTTGGAAAAAAGTTTTATCAGATTTGCCTAAGCAAAAAAAGAATTTTTTTTTTCAGAAAAGAGCATCTGATACAGATAAGCAACACAAGGACACTTTTCCTGTGGACTTGAGAAATTTGACCCTTTTTCTTCAAAATTATGGTGGCCTCAGGGGCTTCTTAATTGTGACACTTCACTGCCTTAAGTATCAAAACCTATTTTTTGTTTTTTACAAGAGCACTAGACTGCTCAGGTGAAGACAGTAAGCCCAATGAGTCTAGATTTCACAGAGACAGCTGACAAATTGTCTCATGATATACTTTTGGTGAAGAAAGGAAATGTGAGTTGGATGCTAAGACTCTTGGAAGGGTTTGAATGTCTATAGCCATGGGCCCTTTTTGTTGAATTCCAGTGGCAAACTAGAATTTTATTTTTTCGTCAAGCCCTAAGCTTCTGTCCTTGACCCCCATGCTGGCCTGTATTTAAATCAATGACTTGGGTATAGACAAAAATAAAAGGACATACCAGCAGAATGTGTGGTTGACTTGAAGTAAAGAGGAAATATGGAAAATGTTTTGGGTGATATAATGAGAATCTAAAATGCCAGAGAAAATACAATAGGGGTCATTGTCAGATTCTGTGCGGGGGTCCAAAAATCCAGCTTTAGCCCAGGGTAGGGTCGGTTGGCTGGCAGCATGGTTCTGGAGCTTGGTCAATGGAAAATGCAATGTGAATCAGAACCATGATAGGGGTGTTGGAAAAGTATAGGGATTTTGAGCAGCATTTACAGAAATGAAGTATTCAGGGAGGTATTAACCTTACACTACACTGAATGTCAAAGATGGCAGCTATTCAAAGATGCAATGAGTTGCTTTGTGAACAGGTTTCCAACTCAATGTCCCTCCCTTTCCCAGCCCTCCCAGGATGTGGTGAAGGAGATAGTACAATTATCCAAGGATACACTGGAAAAAATTGACAAGGCTCGCTCTGAGGGTTTGTACCATGAGGTAAGATTTCATTTTTAAAGGGTTGGAGATGGGGAGAAGAGCAGAAAGGTTCTCTATTAAGGGAGGAAATGGGGTAGGGTGAAAATGTAGAAAGCACCAAGCTGGTTGTTTTTCTGGAAGATGCTTTTTTGGTTGAGACCATAACTCTTGCCCTTAAGCCTTTAGAATTTCTTAGGGGTGTGTTCTCAATGACTGTTTATCCCACCAGTACCAGGTTGGAGGAAAGCACAGGTAGCCTGACAAACCCCAGCTCCCTGGGGTATTCCAGGGAATCTCAGGCTGGCATCACAGAGGAGGAATGGAGAGAGCCATGGTTGCTTGCTTTCCCACACTGAATGCATGTCCTAGCTACAGTTCCTAGTCTACTAACTAAGCATTCAACCCCGGCTCTCAAAGCACCAGGAGTTTTCAAGTGGATGCACACCAGAATGCTCAGACCCTGACCCAGGACAATTTCCCCAGAAAATTGACATCAGGATTTTTAAAGCTCTCAAGTGATTTCAATGTACACCCCAAGTTGAGACCCACTGCTCAACACTGACCCACAGAACACTTGCATCGAAGTCACCTAGGCCGCTTGTTGGAAATAGAGATTCCTGTGTCTCACCCTCAAAGGTGTGATTCACCAAATCTCCAGCTGAATACAGGGACCATGGATCAGAATTTTTCCCCAAGCTCTTTCAATAACTCATGTGTAGCTGGGTTTAGATGCCAACAGGGCATGGCAATGTGGGAGATAAACTTCTGATCATTTTTATATGCTCTCTCCTTATCTTCATTCTCCTCCCTTACTCATTCACTGCACATTTTTTTTTATTAAGGTATCATGGATATACAATCTTATGCTCAGTTTTCACATGAGCAACGTTGTGGTTACTATATTCCTCCTCTTATCACATCCCCACCACATACTCCATTATAGTCACTGTCCATCAGTATAGTAAGATGCTGTAGAGTCACTACTTGTCTTCTCTGTGCTATACTTCCTTCCCTGTGCCCCGCCCTATATTATGTGTGCTAATCATGATGCCCCTTAATCCCCTTATCCCTCCCTTCCCACCCACCTTCCCCAGTCCCTTTCCCTTTGATAACTGTTAGTCCATTCTTGGGTTCTGTGAGTCTGCTGCTGTATTGTTCCTTTAGTTTCTGCTTTGTTATTATACTACATAAATGACTGAAATGATTTGGTATTTGTTTTTCTCTGCCTGGCTTATTTCATTGAGTATAATACCCTGTAGCTCTGTCACTGCATATTTTTGTGCCCTTACTGGGCATGCCAGCACAACACATGCTCTCTGCCTACCAGGAGTTCTGTCAGTTGGGGAGATGGTCACATGAACAAACAGCTGTACAACATGGAAAATCAATGTGAGAGGCACAGGTAGGAGCTGGAGCAATCAGGAGGGCTCTGCTGGTTCCATTCCTCTGGCTTCTCTCCTCTCCTTTGCTTCTCCTCTTTTCCATTCAAACTTGTCAGGACCAGTGTAGGGCTGGATAATGCCCTATAGGTTTAAGAGGATTGTCTTCAGGATGGATTGATTGCCATCCCACCCAATTGCCTCATGGGCAAACATAAGTTTCTGCTCATTTGAAATGGAAAGAATTGTGTGGCATTTTTTTCATGAGAGCAGCAGGGAAGAGGAGAACAATGAGCTACTAAAATCCAGAGACTACCTGACTGTAGGGTGCAGCCTAAGCCTATGCCTACATTCAAATCAGTCAGAAAAGCCTGACCAAGGTGATTGGGGTCAGATCCATTGTCTTGCCAATGGGTTTCAGACCCGGGTAAGTTCACTATGGATTCAGTGAGACTGAGGAATGACAATGAAATGTTCTTAGGGTGAAAGGGTTTATACCCAACTTTATTCCCATGTGGCAGGTCAATCACTAGAGTCCTGTACACTCAGAGCAAGTCTGCATGCAGCAAGCCAGTCTCTGCCTCTGGGCCTCTCTGCCCCCACAGCCATCTCAGTCTCTGTCGTTGGCACTGCCACCACTCCAGTCTCTGCTCTTCTGCAGCCTTGCAGCCCTGCAGCTGTGCAGCAGCCATGTGGCCATGCCATCGTGTTGCCCAGAGCACTGGGCAGAGTTCTTTATATAGAGTCAATAACAACGTATTGCCCATATGTGTGTAGTGAGCAAGCTGACCAGGTGAGATTCCTGGCCACAGGAACCTTCACTTTATCCACACCCATCTTATTCATACCAGGACCAGTGTGACACCCTCCTAACCTCTGGTGAACTTCCCTCTGTGCCAACCTATCTTGTATACTTCTAGCATGATTGTCCAACCTCACTGTGCATAAGGACCACCAAGAAGCTTATATAAACTATAGTTGTCAGGGTCCCTCCCCTAGACACTTGGTTTCAACTAGTCTGGGGTAGGGCCCAGATGTCAGTGGTTTTAAAAAGGTCTCCAAGTGTTT